AACAAGAAGCTACTAGGAGGAAAGGGCATCGCTACTAGGAGCAAGGAGCTCCTGGCACTACTACTAGGAACAAGAAGCTACTAGGAGCAAAGGGCATCTCTACTAGGAGCAAATAGCTCCTGGCGCTACTACTAGGAACCAGAAGCTGCTAGGAGCAAAGGGCATCGCTACTAGGAGCAAGGACGCTACTGGTAGCTCCTGGCACTACTACTACGAACCAGAAGCTACTAGGAGCAAAGAGCATCGCTACTAGGAGCAAGGACGCTACTGGTAGCTCCTGGCATTACGACTAGGAACAAGAAGCTACTAGGAGGAAAGGGCATCGCTACTAGGAGCAAGGACGCTACTGAGGCATTCTGGCCCAAAGCCGCTTGCCTGACGGCTTCCGGGGGCCCGTGGTCAGGCGACCCTTCGCGAGGAGGGCGTCTGACGTCCATAGAGACCAGTCACATTCTGGCAGGTCACCCGACGCTTTGATCTGTTGGAATCGTGTTCAGCCCTGGTCTCAAGCCATGTCGAAGGAGGACAAGCTCTTTGAGTGCCTGCAGGATCCTTTTTGGTCTGCGAAGACTAAAGGTGTGTTTGCTGGCTTGCATAATGGACCGGGTATTTGTTGGGACGATCTGACCATCCTTGCTGGAACCTTCACTGGAACCTTCATGGACGAGCTCTTGATCGACCTTGGACAGTACATTGAGTATGAAGGTTTTGTCTTCAGTGACGCTACCTCTTCACAAATTGCCATCCCAGGCATTTCGACTCGCGCACTATCGTTCCAGGTAGGTGACCAGATCTTGTGCTGTGGCCGCCTGCATCAGGTGACAACCTCACGGTGGAAAGGTGACACACATGTTACCCTCACAAAACGCCCGGTATTCGACTGCCAAGCTGAGTGGGATTTTGTGCATCTGTTCGCAGGCGCATTTCATGGATGGAGCCAAGCTGTTAACATGCTGCCGAAGTTTGTTGACAGTTTCCGCATTGGAGCACAACTGAGCATTGACAGTGATTCGGAAGTCGCCCAGGTGTGGATGGAGCGCCACAAGCAACCGTGCCATGTTGGCCCCCTCAGGCCGAGAACAGCCTTTGAAGCGCACTACAAAGCTTTTGTGCAAACGCACGTGTTTGATCACACGATGTTCAATCTTGTTGCACCACACGCAAACATGTGCTACACTGCATCACCACCATGTCAACCATGGTCAAAGGGAGGCAGAGCTGCTGGCCTCGCCAGTCTCAATGGCTGGGCTTTTGTTGATACCATAAGAATCACAATTGCGGGCCAACCACATATGCTCGCGCTGGAGTGCGTTGATGATGTTGCAGTGCGCCCACACTTTACCTTGCTGTGTGCCTTGTTGGCAAAAGGGGGCTATCAATGCACGTGGCAGCAGGTCGTGCCATACCATCAGCTATCGCATGTGAACCGAACTCGCTGGCTCAGCGTTTGGCTGCGTTCTGACATCTTTCAGGAGTGTGATGAGATCAGTTTGCCTGTTCGAGCTGAACGAGTGATGCCATGGTCATCGCAACACTACAGGTATGTTATTCCTCGTGCACTCCGGGAACAACTGACACTCACACAGTCGGAGTTGAAAGCCTACGGGAACTACCGGTTCCTCCCCCAGGCCAAGCAAAGATCAGTGCCTGCAGATGCTTCTGTACAGCGAGTGCTGAAAGAGCGAGTTCAGGATCCGTTTGAGACCCTGCCCACACTGTGTGCTTCGTACGGAAACCAACACAACCTTTTAGCCGACCGTGGTATTTTCGCTGTCCTTGACCATGATGGGAAAGACTTCTTCTTCATCGACCCCTTTGCGCACTGTGCCCTGTTGGGCGCCACTGAGTCTATTGTGGTGTCTTTCAAGATGGTGCTAGCGTTTCGACAGATAGGAAATGCTGTTTCGGTGCCGCAAGCCATTCTCACCCTTGGTGTTGGATTCCGAGCTCTCCTCAAGTGGGATCTCGATGTGATCACTTTAGTCCTGCGATGTTGGGCTGCCAGGCTCACTAGCTTCTCGAGTTTTGTGGTCCATGGAAGTCGCTTTGCTACCTTGTGCTCAATTGAAGCTTTTGTCCAGGAATTCTCAGTTGATGCTCCAGCCGAGCCGTTTGGGACTGACTGTGTTGAATGGCGTCTTACACATTGCTATACTGAGGCCTCGAAGACAATCTTCTTGCCTGGGGATAGATCTCCACGATCTTCACTTGGAAGTTTGATGTGCATAGCCACGTGTTCTGCCGAAGTGAGGACCACAAGAATCTCCAGACCTTCCTGCTCCGGGATTTTGCTGTCATTGTCCAGCAATGTCAGGTTTGCGTTGATGGCAAGCCTTTCATCGATGTCCATATGAGGTGCCTCACACCGCCCCCAGCGCTGGCTTTGGCTGCTGCGGACAAGCCGATTGTGATTTCACCCACCATTCCCTTGAGCAAATCGTTGTCAATGCCCGGTCTTGCTTCAAATCCGTGTCCTTTGGAATTTGATGCCATCGCCTCCACAGAGGCCTTTCGCTCTGTGCTTGCGTCTACTGAGAAGTGTCTGTTGGGCAATCGGGGTGTTCCGACGCTTTTCGCTTTCCAGTCTCCGGCCATGACTTTCACTGGCCTTGTTACCGAGGAGGTCCTTGATCGCCAAGTCCCTTCTGAACTTGAGCCTGCCTGCAAGCGCTTGCGGCTGTCTGTGTCGCGCACTGACCTGCTTGGGCCTTGTGCTTTCTTCCTTCCACTCTC